TGAAAGTTTTGCTCCTTTTCTGGCAATAGAGAGTGGGGAATGCGATGGTTCTGGAAATTCAATTTGTATTTTACTGAATTGAATAGGTTGAAAATTAAGAAGAGTCATAGTGAATACAAAACCGTGGAGGCTGTTGTCTAAAGAGGAGCTCAGCAGTATCTGTTACTTTGTTGGACTATAGATTTGTAAAGAGTTTCTTTCTTTTTGCCAAGTTCACCTATTTCATAAAAACCATGAAATTTACAAGCTTAATTGCTTAATATCAATTCATGAGACGAGCTTGGATAGATGAATCGATATGACTTAGCGCCCCATAACACCAAGTTGGTAGGTTTTAGTGACTTAATGTGGCGATATTGAAAATTTCATGGTACAACCATTTCTGTGATATAAATTTCCCCAGACATATAAGATGCAGGACAGGACCAATGTTGTTAAGAAAACTGTTTTTGCTACTAGTTAAAATACCAAGTGGATGCAACAATGTGGTGTTTATAATATGAATCAATCTGAACTTGGCTCCAGTGATAGTCTTAAAAAGAACACAATCTCCAACCAAATGCAACAATTCTCTCAAAATGATATGGTGGTCGCCGAATCCTGGAATTAAATTACATACTCAAACGTGGTGCCTCAAATAAATTTGCTCAAATTGGCTAATAAACCCTTATATGGGATAAATGGTCTCTCTAGCCAGCAATCTTGTAGCTTGGATTGGCTAGATTTTCCAGCCCAGAGACTACTTGGATTGACTCTATCACATCACCAACCTTGAGATCTGCCAAAAAGTCCTCATTTTGTGTCACATATCCAAACACTGCATAACGACCATCTAATATATTGGAATTACTGGGAGTTAGTTCACTTTCCTTCAGTAGCCAAAAAATCTGGCTGGATGCAGAATTGTCCTCAAATTCCTGTCAACAAAAATTGAAAATCATTTAAATCAAAAGTGCCATCTCTGGTTAGCTTCAAATGCATCTCTAGGGAACAGAAACATTGATCTTACATCTCTGGCCATAGCCATTGTTCCAAATGCATTAAAGGGCAGCTTTGTTTGAGCCTTGTATAGTCCAAGCTCCTGTCCAAATACCAATTTCATAATCAATGTCATAACAATTTAAGCAAATACGGGTATAACATCACCAACCTTGAGATCTGCCAAAAAGTCCTCATTTTGTGTCACATATCCAAACACTGCATAACGACCATCTAATATATTGGAATTACTGGGAGTTAGTTCACTTTCCTTCAGTAGCCAAAAAATCTGGCTGGATGCAGAATTGTCCTCAAATTCCTGTCAACAAAAATTGAAAATCATTTAAATCAAAAGTGCCATCTCTGGTTAGCTTCAAATGCATCTCTAGGGAACAGAAACATTGATCTTACATCTCTGGCCATAGCCATTGTTCCAAATGCATTAAAGGGCAGCTTTGTTTGAGCCTTGTATAGTCCAAGCTCCTGTCCAAATACCAATTTCATAATCAATGTCATAACAATTTAAGCAAATACGGGTATAACAATGACAAGGAAACATTTAACACAAGTATTATATCAGAATGAGTTAACACACAAACATAGAGGGACAGAGGCAGGAGAAGCTTACTTCCAAAGTTGATCCATAAAAAGGTAATTTCTCTCCCTCCACCGTGATTTCTAATGGTATTGTCCTGGTTTTCTCTGTACTTGGATCTATGAAACCCTCTGCTGGTCCTTCAGGATCACCAGTTTGTACAACAAAACCATCCGCTGCAAGCAAAAAGCAAGGGGATCTTTAAACATCGTTGAGAAGTAAAATTTGAAGTTTAGAGGTCGGATGAACCACTCAAGATCTCTCCCTGAGGTAGCTCAAGAACTTAATTTATTTCTTTCTAGATTAGCAATCCTTCCAAAAATATTAATAAAAGAAAGTACTGGATATTTACTATGAGGTGTTACCTCTTTGGATTTCCATGCCATCATAAAAGTGTCTTTCCACCAAGTCTACAAAGTTCCCAGCAGTTACTGGAGCATTGTAACCATCAAGAACAATACGGAAGACACAATCAGTAAGGGTAGGATTATCCTTAAACTTGACCTTCATATCCACAGTTGCTCTCCCCTTCAATAGAGGCATGCTTTGGTATTCTTCAGGCACTTCATAAGGGAATCCATCCACCATATCCTCTTCAACACTGCAGAAACCCAATGCCCCAGGAAGATCTCAGCTGCAGTCAATGACAAGGGCGTATATGAGGATACACATGTTATAACTAACAATCCTCACACACTTCAATGCCTTTTGAGCTCTAGCTCTACTCAACATTAGAGCATAGGTGGTGTTTTTTCTAATAGTTCACTCAAACAATACCAGCTGTTTAAGTCTTAGTTTACTAATGTTCTTTCTATCACTCGTCTCATTAACATTTAATCATCAAGTGGTAATGTCTTCTCATAAACACCAAAAGTCTTAGAACAGCCTCTTTGCAGCTTATTTGAGACAGAAAACATTCATTTGGTAATTCAAGACCTCTATGAGGAAACTCTGAATACAAGAAAATGGCAGCAGATAAAACTAATTAGACAGTGAACATGCACGAGTTCCTAAATCCTCTATGACATTTTAATAAGTAAGATATGGTAACAAGACAGAATCAAGTATTGCAAGGTTAAAGACACACATACACAAGTTCCTACTTTCTATCTTATTTTCACACTGAGCTTCTTACAGCCATTCAGGTATTTCATGAGAGGTGTATTTTTTTTCTTTTTTTGCGCAACAAAATTAAAAAGCCATTCTTCATTATGGCACAAAGTAATGTTTCTGCCATACTCACCCCCCAACATATTGAAGTAGCTCCTTCTGTTTTTCTGCTACTCCGTCTCTATTTCTATCCTCCACAATCTGTTGGAGTTCATCCATTCCAGCTTCCAGCTTTCCAAGCAATTCAACTCCATGGTCCTTCTTCGATTCAGCTAATCCAGATACAATTAAAGCCTTTCCCTGCTTCAGCGCTCGAGATGCCTGCCTCAAATTCTATATCCAAACTCAACTCTCAGTTACCATCTATTGAAATTCCTTAGATATAAACGGAATGAACACAAAGAAAAGAAATGGTTTGATGAATTACCCTCTCAACAGAATCGAGTGCTTTGACTCCGGCTACCTTGAGACTCTCTGTAATATCTTCAAGTGGTTTTTGTACTTCCCTGATAGCTTTATTATTGATAGGCAGAGCATATCTCAACAAAGCCCCCGGGTCCTTTATTGGGGGTCCAGAGATCAGTACAGAAAGATCAGGCAACACTGGGTTAGCCGCATAGGCATTGCTAGACCAGTCCAATGCAGGAACTCCTGTTACTAATCCAACGGCCAAAGCTATAGATATCGCACACTCCTTTATGGAAAATGACTTCCCTTTCTGCTGAAACAGGTGAAAACGCTCAGTGGGTCCTATCTACAATCAACTTTTGCAACAAAAGATCATATCTTTCTGAAAGAACTTCAAGTTGACTTGGCCTATTTGGTATCCACTACAAACTACACACATTTCATGAACTTAAGTACCCTATATTCTGAACAGTCAATACATTCTAGTATTCTACTAAATGCTGAATAAGAATGCCAATGAAACAAAGAAAGAACCTGTAAAGAATCAAAATTTGTACAAACCAGAAAAGAAAAGGGCACCTGTCTGTTCTGGATCTGGCATTTAATAGGAAGTGGTGAAGAACTGAGGGTTCCAAATTGTTTATGGGAAATTGAGAAGCGAGTACGGTTTGTGGGTATGCTCGGACTGATGAATTTGGAGGGGGTAGCTGGAGAAGCAGAGTGGTGGCAGGAGAGAATGGCTGCCATTGGACTTTAAACTTTTTCAGTAATAGTTAGTATACACACTACAAAGTAACATCAGCCTGTTTTTGTGTACAAGACTGAAGAATGAGAGAGAGAGAGAGAGAGAGAGAGAGAGAGAGAGAGAGGAGTACTAGATAAGGTGATTGGTAAGTTGGGGTTGGTCTTGCACACTGCTCTACTTGTTGCTCATTTTCACTCATAATGGGAGATTTGTGGCAGCCTGGCACATGGGCATTGGGTCATCTTCATCCTCAGTCCTCAAGTTCTGGATAAGATTTGCAATTCATGGATTGGAATCAGAACTCTTCGATTTTTCATAAACACGTGGATTTCATTGACCTCTTTTCATTTTGTTTCCAACCGCTTGGGTCTGGACCCAGATGAAAAAAATGCCAAGTTTGTTGAGATTTGGGTCAGGCTGAGGTTGCCCACTTCCACAATTTTATGGCTGGTTTAGGGCTTGTACCTTTGAGGCCTTGACAAAAATGGATTGGTTTTGTTTTTTCGGTCACGGGCTGGGTTTTTTTTTGTGCCAAATTTAGCAATAGCGTCCCTCTATCTATTTTCAACAAAATTATTCTCTTTTTTCTGGTCAACCAACATAATTACTTGAAAAAATATAAAAACAATGGGGACTGAAAAAGTTGGTGCACGTTGAGAAATTTGCAAAAGCATGAATAGTCACTGAATTCACCATGAAATCGTAACTAAACCACAAACAAAGAATTGTCAATGCAGTGCTTCAGTTACTTGGCGCAGCCGCTCAACAAAAATGTATATTTACAATTCTAAACCAGAAAATTAATCCCAAAAAAGAAATAAAGTACTTGCTTTTTCCATATCAAAATTAACCTAAGGAGATGAGAAGTTAAAACTAGGAAGTTGATGTGCAGATGCAGAGTAATTATCAGACTCTAGCAGCAGCAGCTGCATTTGTATTCGAGAGCTGCACTTCGGTAGTAGTAGGCTTTCCAGCAAGGTCATCGTCGTCTTTTGGAGTTGACTTGCAGTACGCTGCATAAAGTATGAGTTGAATAGCACCAGAAACTGCACCAAGACCATTGCTGACCTGCATGACATAAAGACACAAAGTAATTAAGCACCATAAGTTTAATCAAGAACTAATAAAAACGATTTAATCAGATAACTGAAGTTAATTATAATTACCAGCATGTAGATGTCAAATTTGATGAGAGCATAAGCTGTCCAGCAGCAACCATTTAGGAAGTTGGTCAATGAGAGGTAAAATGGCATGTATTTCACACTCTTGGTTTTGATAACCTTTGCCTGTCAAACCAAAAAAAAAAAATTGCGTAACTTTTTATTATTACTAGCTAGAGAGAAAAGTTAAAACTTTATGGACTGGAATTACAAGGTGTTGCTTACCATGATTGTAAGAGGAGAACCGTACATTATGATATTGAAAATATCACAGACAATGCCGACCATCAGAGACCTCTTCTTTGTGCCGTGCAAT